TGAAAACCCTCGGGAAGCCAGCTTCAACTGAGCCCTGGATGAACCAGGCCACAGCCCCTCCTCTTGGCCTCGTTCCAATGGTGACACATTTGTAGGACGCTGTGTACCTTGTAATGAGACCCTTCTGCCCAACCTGGAGAATCTGCAGAGCAAAACGAACATCGCATGCAGAAGGAAATGGGGCTTGGCCTTCCAGGGCAGTGTGGCCCACATGTGTCCTATTCCCATGCAGGACCCTTAGATACAGCCTCAGGCCCGGGCTCCTGCACTTACATCTCAGCCGGACAGAGAGAACGGGCAACGCACACCTGAGTGCTCATGCAGGGTGGGCAGGGGCTGTGGAGGGAGAGCAAGCCACAGGAGTGACCTGGGTGTGGGAGAACGTGTGCAGGGAAGCTGAGCACAGCACTCTGAAGCCAAGATTCTGCAGGCCCAGGGCACTCTCCTGCCCACACATGTCCACAGAAATAGTCCTAAATATTCCACTTCCTACCAGTTCAAAGCTGGGTCTCAGCTCTTCCTTACCAGCCAGGCTGTGGAACACAGGGTCACCCACTTTGTGGGGGCCTCCTTTCCTCAGGACAAGGCCCTTTGGCTCCCTGGGCCCTTGGCTGCTCTTCCTCCCTTACTCTGTTTGGGGATGCGCTGTGCCTGCTGGTGGATTTCAACCCTACAGGGCTGCTCTGAAGGTCAGGTCCATGGGTTCAAGGAGGGCCCATGTTGGGGGGGCACAGAACTGAGCCTCATCTCTCCATCCCCCATTACACGGTGGACAATCCACAATGTTGTTCCACTTTCTCCTTACCAGACGCTTTGCATAAAGAGCAAGCAGGCTTTAAGCACAGCTCCATCCTGCTGACCACAGTTAACCTTTCTGTCACCCGCAAAGATGCTTCTCAAGAGCAATATAGTGCTGGTCCCATGTTTCTAATGGTTAAGGGAGCCAGATCCCACATGGTTGACCGCATGGTTTGAATCCTGGATCTCGTGGCTTGAAAAACATTCCAGTTGCGTGTGTGTGTGTGTGTGTGTGTGTGTGAGAGTGTGTGTGTGTGGATGTGCCCCCAAACCCAACAGGATGGAGAGACAGAGAAGGAATTGTGGCATAACTATACTCCATTGGGGGTTATTTCTCTCCCTTGCTCTCTCTGGCAAGCTCATATATGCTCAGGCAAACAGAAAACCTAAAACAAAATAAGCTTGCTTACCACACTGATTGCTTTTCTCTCCTCAACATTGAACTTTATGGAATGGAGCCTATCAGAAACGGTTAAAATCCGTGTGGAATTTCCCATCACTGGTGTTCATAGGGAGGCGTGCACACGTTGTAGCCACAATAGGAACAACAGGGTGGGCCTCACTCGATCTAGTAGTTTGAAGCTACACAAAGTGGGACTGGTTCCCTCTCACTTAGCTTATTTTATGGGTATTTATTTAATTACCTTCTTAAATATTTATTATATAATATTTGTCTTTTCTTGACTGGTATTTTTTTCCTTAACACAATGTCCTCAAGGGTCATCCAGGTTGTAGCATGTATTAGAATTTTATGCCTTTTTAAAAAAGTTCATTTATTTATTGAGAGAGAGAGACAGACAGATAACACCCTCAATAGGGCCTTCACACCACAATCCTCTCCCTAATCCTGCAGCCAGCCAGAATTCACAGCACGTTGAGACAGACCGAGGCTGTGAACCTGGATCCCTCAGCATTGCCCAGCAGCACTCCCACTGGCTGCACTACTGTGGCTGGGCTAAAAGTTTCACTCCTTTTCAGGGCTGAATAACATTCCACTGTATGGATATATCAAATTTTATTTACCCATTCATCTGTGGATGGACACTTGGTTTGTTTCCCCCTTTGGCTCTTGAGAATAGTGCTGTGATGAACACGGGGGTACGAAACAGGAGTCCATGTTCAGCAATACCCTGGTCTTGTCCGACATTCACTCAGCCTACCTCAGAGGCAGTGCTCCAGGTGGGAACCGTAACCCCCACTCATGACGTCAACCCTACATTATTTGGCAAAGTCACGGCTTTGACCATAACCAGCAATGCAAAACACAGCACTGAGCCCTGTGCCAGGGATTTTCACCCTACCGTGTGGTCTGCCCATCCCTGATGAAAACTATCATCGATGAAGACCTAATCAGCAAAGGATAGCCACGCATCTAGCCACCACTCTATGTACTCCCCGTTTTATTCTGAAATTAAACAGGGCTGTCAGAAACAAAATGCTTTGGGCATCCTGCTTAGTCTCTCAGTCCAGCCCCACCCGGGGACTGCCCTTGTTCTGTCCTGTTTTGTTGCCACGCCCTCGCCTGCCAGCCAGGGATGCCACTGGAAACAGCCGCGGGAAAACTGCAACTATGCTTTCTGAGGAGCCGTTGTTTCAGACATGATCTCATCCGTCTCCCAAGATCGCTTATTTGACAATGAGCTGGGAACTTTCTAGAGTGAAGCAGTAGAAGGCCCAGGACTAAGACCTGCTGCAAGCCCATGCGTTTGTTCCCCATTGAACGACGACAATAATAATGGTCCACGTCTCCTTTATACAGACTATTTATCCAGATCAGGGGTGAGGGAGACAGAGACAGAGAGACAGCATTCTGATAGGGTCTTGAGGTCATAATCTACCATCAGTTCAGCCAGCCCAGATCATGGCCACACGAGGGCCCAGTGTGCTTTGCGAGGGCTCCAGACATGAACCTGGGCCCTTGGCACATGGGTCTGCCTCTCAGAGCAGCATATTTTGTCACTGCATCACTGTCTGGCTCCTAAGTCTCCTTTTTTTGTTGTTGTTGGAGAGGTTTTTGCTATAGGGCGTGCACTCGCCAGAAAGACAGAGAGAGACAGAGAGATAGAAAGCAAGAAATCATCCCCCAGGGGGGATGGGAACGCCGCACTCCCTTCTCCTCCATTCTCCTCTCGGGATCTTGGGCACGCACACACACACACACACCCGGCGTGATTTTAAGCCACCAGGTCCGGGACTTGAACCGTGGTCGGCTACATGAGAGTTCAACAACATAGCCATTACACTAACTGCTGGTCCCCCTAAGTCTCCTTTTTAGCAGTGGCTGCCAGAAAACAGAATCAAATTTATGATTCAGCTAGAGCTCTGTTTAGGTCTGTGGCCTGCCTGTTTTGGGTCTATTCCTCCTAGACGGTCTTATTAAACTCTGATTCTAAGGGTTCATTTTTTCATAGAGACATGTAGTTTTGCTCTGTCTTTCTTGAAAGTTGCCTAAAATCCTCTGGCAGCTGGGGAGAGAAATAGAGGGGAGGAATGAAAGGCGGGCAGGCTTTGTGTCTGTAAATGAGGAGGCTAGGGGGCTGAGAGACGAAGGGTGGGGGGAAGGCCGGCAGTAAGCAGGGGAGGGCTGGACCCCGCCAGGCACTGGCCAGTACTCGGCCGCCCGTGCTAAGGCTTTCTGGACGCCCCCACAACGGCACGCAACAAACGCGTTTAGATGACAATCTGCCCTTTTTTGTTTTTAAAGGTTCACATATGAGGCTAGATGAATAGTTTCCAGGATTTTAAAGTGTCTATATCAGTTCTTTCTGGAAGACCTTCCAAGACTCAGGGAAACTCACGCATGAAAACATTCCAAGGACCAGGTAGAAATTCTGCCAGCAGAGGGCGGTGCAGGACAAGTTGAGTTCCTAGTCTCAAAGGGCAGCCAAGGCCATCCTTTCGGTCCTGATGGTGGGGAGTCTGTTGCTTGCCAGGCTCTCCCGAAGTCACCAGAAGCCAGCCAACTTAGTCACAAGTTGCTGTTGACTTTGAAACACTCAATTCTAGGCCACCTCTAAAGCTGGAATGCTAATGGCAACCACCTCTAAATAAGCCAGAGCTTACGGGTGGCATCGGCTGGTACTGGAGGGGACCTTGGGAAAGCACTCTGCTCACCTGTAAGATGGCTTCACGGCACTTACCTCACCGGGTGTCCTGGGCATGAGGGGGGCCATGTGCGGAGAAGTCCTGGCCCACTGCAGGTCCTCGGTGACAGTGCATTCACTACTGTGTGTGTTCCACAAGGCCCAAGTACACATTGTGGCCCTGGGCTGCCCTGACCAGCCCATGCCCAGGTGATCCAGGGAGACGGGACTGCCTGAGGCTGGGTGTTGTCACATAGCTGTCAGGCACCCTTCACTGACCTCAGGGGCTATGGAGTGCTCCTCAAGGAGAGGCCACACAGGAAGCAGTTCT